ACACCTAATTCAATAAATACGATTGGTTAGTTTGTTATACTATTCCTGATTACACCTAATTCAATAAATACGATTGGTTAGTTTGTTATACTATTCCTGATTACACATAATTCAATAAATACGATTGGTTAGTTTGTTATACTATTCCTGATTACACCTAATTCAATAAAGTTTCTTACTTAAAATATTTATAGTTTTAAAGACGTAAAATATTTTTTTTTGAAACAGATAGGGGGAATGTCGGTATGGAGGTGTGATTTAAAAACACTTGGTAAACGAGATCGACATATTATAACAACTCTTACACTTTTCACGCAGAAAAAAGTGACATCGGCGCAGTACTATTTCATACACTTAAATAGATGTATTAGAAATTGTTACGTAGCTTCTGAACATCAGGCCTAGTTTTCAGGGTGCTTTACACGTAAGTTAGGAGGCGCGGGATCGAAATCCGGTTCCGAATATTCCCGTCTTTTCGGCGTTTTTTTTTTCACAGAGGCCTCTATATTACGATATATATATTATATTTGTTTTAATTCGAAGATCTGCTTTTTTTCAGTTCCTAATTTTGAACTGATAACTTAGAGGAAAGAGATGATAAAAACCCTATAACCCGAAAGCTTTCGAAAGGTGGACCTTTCTTCTTCAGGGGCAAACTGCGTATGGTGGTGTAATCGAATGAGTGATATACATAAAGGAAAGAGAGTTAGTGAACTGCATTTAACTCTTAACTCTTAGGGTTTTCCTGTCTGGTGGAATTTGACCGTCACTCTTATAACGCACCCACGGCTCCAAAATGAAAACACTTTTTTTTTTGCTCCAATAACTCGAAAGAATTCACAATCAGAGCACGCGAAGCACTTGGCCACACCGGACCAATATTCGGGATGTCGATGTCGTTGTTTTCTTAGTACAAAAGTACGCAATGGGCTATCTACGCTATGTCCACCGCGGATAATCGAACCCGTAGTCTTACCGCTAACCCACAGGGAGGCCATGAATGTCAAATATGTATTTGTTTATGACGTACACACGTATAACGAAAACAAACATTTGCACCTGATTTTGTTATTTATGGCAAAGCTACCGAGGCCACCGTTTCTAGTTTCGGACTACTGACCAGAGAGATGGCCATCAAAGTTGCTAAAGTATTGTCCAGAAGATATAATTTTATTGAAGTAGATTGTTACAATTTGTTTGACATCCATATCTATGTATTTTTCATATTTTAATTTACTCTTTCAAGCACTCAAGTAACAGTCAATCAAAAAGATTGTCTCACGACTGCCCTGGAAGTTGAAGTTAATACTGATTGGCTTATGTGTCTGCTTTAACATTTTTTAAGCTGGCGTTATATTATTTGATTTTCGAGTGTTTCGAACGGGAATCAAAGTACAAAATAAATAACAGAAAAGTAGTTCGTTTTACTTGGAACTCTCGTGCACTGGACGAATATAATACTAACGAATATATAATCGTTCATTTAGGCAGTAAACAACCGTTTATTTGATTAATAAACAACAGTTTATTTGAGTAGTAAGTAATCGTTCATTTAGGCAAGTAAACAACCGTTTATTTGATTAATAAACAACAGTTTATTTGACAAGTAAACAACCGTTTATTTGATTAATAAACAACCGTTTATTTGAGTAGTAAATCATCGTTCATTTAGGCAGTAAACAACCTTTATTTGATTAATAAGCAACAGTTTATTTGAGTAGTAAATAATCGTTCATTTAGGCAGTAAACAACCGTTTATTTGATTAATAAACAACAGTTTATTTGAGTAGTAAATAATCGTTCATTTAGGCAGTAAACAACCTTTATTTGATTAGTTAACAATAGTTTATTTGAGAAGTAAACAACCGTTTATTTGATTAATAAACAACAGTTTATTTGAGTAGTAAATAATCGTTCATTTAGGCAGTAAACAACCGTTTATTTGATTAGTAAACAACAGTTTATTTGACAAGTAAACAACCGTTTATTTGATTAGTAAACAACAGTTTATTTGATTAGTAAATAATAGTTTTTGGGGCAGTAAATATCCGTTTGTTTAGGCAATTAAAGCCGTAGAAATTGGCGACAAACCTCCACAAACATTTAATAATCCTGTTACATTAGCCCTAGCAGTCATCCTGTGTATAGAGCTGAATATGTTACATCTTAGCTTGAAAAAAGGCAGAGTCTCTATTTAGATTAAATATCTCTCTTGCTCGATAACAAAGGAATTTAACATTTGCCAAACGTGGATAAATTTTTAAAACAGCAAGAAAGGTCACGTTCGTTGTTATAGAAAGACGGATCAGTGAATATGTTTTGTCTTGAGTTACACAAAAAATGATATGTCAATAGTGATTACAATGAAAGGCACATTTCATAACTAAGACTTTGTTTGTTTGTTTTAAAGCACAAAGCTGTAGAATGGGCTATCTACGGTGTGTCCTACAACAGGGATCGAAACTCGAATTTTAACGTTATAAGCCTTCAAGCTTACCAGCGAGAACACATCAGGAGGAGTGTCAAGTTTGAAGAATGATTAAGGAATGAAAATGGAGAGAACATTTACAAGAGAGGACTACTATGCAGCATATTTTATCCCAACCAACTGTTTTCGATCTAAAGTGATTCTCCAACACTGTTACACCTGTCACACAGAAAATGGATGCCTATTTGTTTGAAATGATTTGTTTTTTTTATTAATATAATCGACTGTTGTTTTTTTAATTGTTAATGAGAAACAACAAACCAAAGAGTGCACTTTAAACTCATTAAAATAACATCTTTTTCAAAAAAAAAAAGTAAAACTGTTTATTTAATTATTACCTCCACCACCGAAGGTGACAGAGGTTATGTTTTCCCCCCTCTGTGTGTGTTTGTCAACAAGATTTCTCGAAAACGGCTGAATGGACTTGAACAAAAGTTTGTATACTTTTAGAATATGACCCAACTTAGAAGTGATTAGTTTTTTTGGAGGTTTATGGTCAAAGGTCAAGATCACAGCAATGTCACTAAAATCCCCAAAAAAATCCCTATCTGCTAACATAGGGACCAATTTTTCACACAATTTTTGCTTTATAACTCAGTCAAAAATGATTAGATCTTGATGAAACTTGGTGCATATGTGTAGAATTTTATTCCTCATTGTCCTGCCAAGAATGGTCCCATTATTAATGATAGACACATGGACACATTTTCGTATTTTGTGAGAGCTGAATATGATCAATGCTGCATGGTGGAGGTATACGCTCTACTGAGTGTCCTTTCAATTGTGCGATTGTTTTGATATATTTGAAAACAGCTTTTTTTCAAAATGCCTTCTATTATTGTTTTGCCAATAAAATGTTAAACTTTTAAGTGGAATTTGAAAATTTGTAAAGTTAAAAACTTTTCTTTAGATGTATTATAATCTTCCCTTGCTTCAGAACTGTAAAAAACCTTTTTAAGTTGTCGTTTATTTGAACACAAATGTATTTAAAGGGGACACCACAGTATTTTCCTTTGTATACTTACTAAACTTTAAGCTTTAAAATATGGTCAAACATTTTGTGTAAGTACAATGAAATTTTAATATGCCACTCACTAATCATATGAAATCAGTAAGAGGTCAAAACTGAACGGAGATTGGCTCCTACTGGACATTTCAAGTACCCATGAATGGTGGACCAAGTTTAAAAACTATCATTCATACATGCCAGCTGTTTTCGACTGCATGTGAATATAATCAATGAAAACGTTTTGGCAAAGGAGCAGAATAAGTGGGGCGGAAACCACTCGGATTTCAGGTTATATAGAAATGGTATCACATAACCAAAGTAATTGTAGTCAGTATAAGGATTCAACTTTTTTGAAACTTAATAAGAAGTACATAAAATTTACTGTCATAAACAGGTTCGTTTGGTATCTAAACTTGAAACCCTGCCATATTATATTTAAGCTTTTTTTTTATATATTATATATTTTGAGTTTTAGTTCCTATAATATCTTCTAAGAACAATTCTTTATAATTTCCTTTTTCTTTTCATGGTTGCAAAAATAATGGCCAATGTTGTTGTTTTTTTACTTGAAGGTGTTAATCTGTACAAACATTTTTTTTCCTTTGTCATTTGAAACTGCTTAACTTGTATAAACTTTTTGTACCTTGTCATTTGAAACTGTTAATATGTACAAACGTTTTCTATTTTGTCATTTGAAACTGTTAATCTGTACAAACTTTTTTATTAATTTTAATATCAATAATCTTAAACATACATAATTCCAGGTTTTATTTTTATTTTTAGGAAGTACGATAAGTTAAAGGACCATGTACTATCTCTAATTATATTTGTGTATTATATAAATTTTTTTCAACAATTATCACATTAACAAAAATGAAGCAGCAAATAAAAGTTTCATTTTAAACAATTTTCTTAACTCAAGATAAAATTGAAATATTTATCAAAAAGAAAGAAAAATATGACATTATTTTCCAAAGAATTTTATCCTTTAACAGCACCTTATCTAACACACAAACTAAATGAACCATGCCAGAGATCTCCAAATTTAGAATTGCTGGCCAGAGAGCAGAGGCAATCAGTAACCACAATCCACTGACCATGGTGCTAATTTTTCTGTTATAGCAGGATTGGCTGTTGGAGGTATAGTGCTCCTACAGCTGAAAATGTGGAATTTATTCAACAGCATGTCGTGATTCGAACTTAGAATCTTTTGATCTGTCAGATTGCAAGCTAACAATTAAGCTCAACTGATCCTTCTAGCAAGCAACTTTTTTTTGTTTCTGTTTAAAAGAAGAATGGTTGCAGACATAGTTTCTTGGATGACATTTCTATGTCTGCAACAATTTTTCCTAAGCAGAAATGTCATCCAAGAAACTTTGTCTGCAACAATTTTTCCTAAGCAGAAATGTCATCCAAGAAACTATGTCTGCAACAATTTTTCCTAAGCAGAAATGTCATCCAAGAA